CCAGTCCCCACTTCCCCCAACCCCAAGAGGCTTACCAGCTGGAGGCAGCTGTATTGGCTGCCTGTTTAGTTTATTGCCGAATCTTTTCCTAATCGATTCAGATGCTTCTAATTGATTTGGAGGTTTTACTTGGTCTTCCGATTCAATTTGGATTCAGATTTGGTCCCCGAATTGGGCTGGATCTCCTCCAAATTAAATTGGCTACCGAAGCTTCGCACAGCCCTACTACACATGTGTAGCTGTATATATGGTACAACCTCTTCATCGTGCAAGAAAAGTTATCCTGTAATTGGAATAATGTCTAAAACCTGACTAGGTTCTCTGTCTCTTTATCTGTCCATCAGTTTTAATCAATATGATAGAACAGCATATCTTGGTGTGTAAGCCTTTTATATTGAGGAAGATGCAGTTTGCTTTTCTAACCCATGGGGAATGTACCTGCAGGATGATGGGTCTTTATAAATGCTGGCGTAGCAGTAGCATTTATTTCCTTTGCAATTTTTAGTATAAAATTGAGGATTTTGTCTCATTTTCATTATATTTTTATCTGTTTATAAGGAATGAATGAGGGGAAGTTTGAAACTGGCTTGCCTAGGAACCTGATTTAGGGAAAGAGATATGTTTTTGGTACAAATTCATTTCTCTGTTGCATTGTTTTTCCTTGTAGGCCAGGAGTTGGCAATGTTTTTGGGCACATTACCAAAAACACCTGCGACTTCGACTTGTAAGACATTGGTGTGCCAGTGGCGGACAGTGGGGGAGCCATGAAGGGCCCGATCCTTGTTCTGACAGCGCAGCCGTGGCACCTTCCCTGCCATCTGCCCTGAGGCATGCATGCAACTGCTGCCAGCAGTGAGCTTGGCCAGGGCTCCATGGACCATGGTGCAGCTGTTTGCAGCCTCCTGACTGCCCTGCCTATTTCATCCAGCCCAGACTCTGGGTGGTCCCCTGCTGCCTGCTCACAGCAGGTGGCAGGGAGGCTGCAAGCAGCTGCACCAGTATGTATGGAGCCCCAGCTTGTTGCCAGCAGCAAGTGCGTGTGTGCCTCAAGCCAGACAGCGGGGAGAGGGTCAAGACTTCACTGCCACAACAAGGACTGGGCCCCTTGTGACTCCCCTGCCATCTGCCCTGAGGCATGCATCCCCAGCAAAATGCCTTTGTGTGCTGCTGTGGCACGCGTGCTAAGGGTTGCCTACCCCTTTTCTAAGCTAGGCTTATATATCTGAAAATTCTGTTTTAGTGGTTATGATGTATGTACTGCTTACATTTTCAGACAAGGCGTTCCTTGTAAAATTCTGATTTATCAAGCATTAATAATAACCACAAAAAAACCCAGCACCCTTCTTGAAGCCTCTTCTTCCTATGTACAGTGTCTCCATTCCTTCATATCCACAAAGACGGCTGTCAAGTCAGAGTTAGTTCCTGTTTTGGCATGCTTTTACATGTAAACCTAGAAAACATGCATTTTATCTTGGAAATTTAACTCTGTTGAACAATGCATTAACATATCAAAAGAAATAGCTCCCGTTTGTTATGGGCAAGGACCATTACTAGTGCCAGCTGTTCCATTCAGCCACTTGACAGCCCTGACAATTTTTGCCAGTCTTTGCAATGGTGGTGGATCAAGCAGACAAGTGTAGCAGCCTACACAGGTGACTGATTACCTGGTGAAAGTAGGCTCCTCTGAGCAAACATTGAGTCCTCCTACCAGCAATGCTGGTGAACCTGGAGTCAAAACTTATGCCTATTCAGAATTCATACAGGCCTCTCTTGGCTGCCCCCTACAAGTTTGATTCCAGCCTTAGGTGAAACTCCTTTTGCAGCATGGGGTTAATCAGATGACATAAGTGAAGGCCTGTCTATCTCTGTTGGGCCACATGGCTTAATGTACCTCTGCAACTACATGCCAGCTTACTTCATTTTCTTGCATACTACATGGCCCCAAATAAGACACCTTGGTTTAGAGTAGGCAGAAGGAAGAAAAAATATTTTTCTAGAGCTGTGGCTGCATAAAACAGGGCCAGAGCCTAATCTCACTCTCCCTTTCCTGTTAAAACAAAAGCTGTAACACTCGCTGCAGCTGAAAACAGGTTTCTATGGATGGATCTATGAATTTGAAAAGAGCTAAAAACCATCAGTTATGCTATAAAATAGGAGAATAGAGACCAAGAGTATTAATATGCAGCAAAATTTCCAGAAAAAACTAGCTTGATTAGTGGACCATCAACATCATTAAAGAGGAGAGAGGATTGTTAAATGTGTGTGGGTAAATATGGTATACTGCAGACCATGCAGTACTGACTCATCCAGTACTTCCTAGGAAAGGACCAGCGAGGATGAACATGTCAGTGCCCCTGCTTGACACATCTTCCCTGGCAAGATGGAAGTACTCTGTCCGATGTATGCAGGGAGTATTGTGAAATAAACTAATATTCAAATTACTTCGGTTCTATAATGTTGAATTCTATAGGAAAGCTCATGAGGGAATGAACAGTTCTGTCTTCTGAGTTTGAAGGATGTGCAGCAGGTAAACCATGGGATGAGACAATGAACAATCAAAATGGGATAAAAAGTTTATGTATTGTGGACATGGCGATAAAAATAAAAGTACCGTATGATAGTATCACAATGCATATACACAAGGAACCTGAATTCAGGTTGTACAGGCAAACTTACATTTCCTAAATTTTGACTCCTTTACAGTTCTACTCAACTATAAATCATAAATCATTTTAGGGTTGAGATAACAGGCATTGCCTTAAAATAGGTAGTGTTCAAAAGAGCAAACAAAAGTTGGCACACTGCATCTTTCCTGTGAATAGCAAGGTACGAGTAATAAAGTGAGTAGGCAGGGCTGATTTTATGTTCTCTCCAACAAGCTAGTATGTATAGAGCTTCCAGGTGTGAGCTGCTGCATGGGAAATCTTTCTATGACTTAGTAAATGTGCAAATTACCTTTTGCAAATTGGTACTTGACTGTGAATTTCCGCTTAAAGTTAAAGCACCCATTTTCAAGCAGTGGTAGGTCAAGACTTGGAGCTGTGGAAGTGGGAAGGTGCTCAAAGATCTCTGTGGATAGGCAGGTCCTCTATGGAGGCTTTCTGGGAGAGAAGAGTCAGAACCAGATGAATCTGTGGGGTCTTTAAGAAAATTGGGTGCAGCTTCAGAGATGTGTGTTTGTGGACAGGAGGAAAGGTGAGGCCTGCTGTCTGGAGAGGCTTGAAACCCATGTTAGGCCTCCCTATCTTTTGTGTGTGCTAGTGGATTTCTTCAGATTCAGCAGAGAGAACAGTGAGGCAAAAGTTGCTTGGGCTGCTGCTTAGCAGGGGCAACAGTAGTCTCTGGTGGCCAAGAGCTACAGCTGCAAGACGTTGCCACAGCCCAGGTGAATGTCAGATGCTCTTGTGACTGAAAAACTCATGAGAAGTAACCTCAATATGAGAGTTGCCTGAGATGCATATTGCTCAATCTACCCATATGCATTTGCTGTATGCCACATGGATATCATTGAAAAGTAGGGTTGGCAGGGACCTCCAGAGGTTGTTAGTCCAAATCTGTGCCTGAGGCAGGATGATCTCTGTCCAAACCATCCTATACAAATCTGTTGTTTAAACCAACCTGTGGCCCATGGATCAGGAAATTTGGTGGCAGTGGTGGCAGTAAATATGGCAATCCTCCCCTGCTGCCAAACTACCAAACCTCAAGCCCCATGCTGCAGGTTGGGGCCAGGTCATGCTCTCTTCTGCCACCCCCACAGTTAGATGAGACTGGGCCATGCCCCTCCCCCCAGGCTGGGTAGGGCTGGGCCATACCCACTTTCCCCTGTGGGATTGGGTTGGGGTGCATTGAAGCCCCCTTCTACACCCCTGCAGAGCTGGATCGAGGCCCCTTCCCCCAGCGGGGCTGGGTTGGGGTTGGGCCACTCCCCTTCCCCCTCACCCTGCAGGGCTCAGCCACATGCCCCTCTAGCCTGGACCCTATCCCTTTTCTCCATGGGGCTGGTGCACACCACCTTCCCCCTCCCCCAGTGGCCACGTTGGAGTCGGGATGACCACTGTCTCCCCCTGTATGGCCAGATGGGGCCATGCTGCAATTGTCTCATACTGATTGGGACCACCAGCCATATCAAGTCTGTGGACGGCATTGGCATTGTCTGTCTGGCCTGCTGGCAAAAAGATTTATCGCCATTGTTCTAACCGACTAGCAAAACTATACAGTCAATTCTGACATGACCACAAGAAATAACATCTTAACCTACCCCAGGTAAAGCCAGGGGACCATGGCAGCCAACATCCTGCTGCTGCACAGGCTATTAAAATATGCTTGAGAGATCCAATGAAGAGGTCCGTACTCTATACTACAGAGGAAGGCAAAAGGTCCTACAGTCCATGGTAATTTGACCATGGGGTAAAATTCTTTTGTGACCCAAATATTATGTCAGTTGGTCTGACCTTGAGCATAGGAGCAAGACCCCTAGTCAGGAATCGTTGGGTTTCAGTTCCAGCAGGAGCATTGGTACACTCCAGTCAAAATCCTCAGCCTTGGCTGCAGCCAATAATCAGAGCTTCTAGGGAAAGCAAAAAACAAAACACAGAAGAAAGCAAAGAACAGCTATGAATTTCTGTTGTTGTTAACTTATCAATCAGTTCATATTATGGCCTTTGTGACTCATGTTTAATGCATATTTTAGTACAACCATTAAGATAAATATTCTGATGAGAATTTCCTTTGATATCTCTATAGCTGAGCTATTTTCAACCAAGGTGACATTTAGGTGTTTTCTTTTATAGGCTGAAATTTATTGTCTTTCCCCCAACTGTTTTGTTGTTTTTTCAATTAAAAATATCTATTAAAATTACAGATGGTCCAAAAATTATGTGAGAATCAAGAGTGACATCTTTTATTGGACCATGTAGTTGGTATAAAGTTAAGTTTTTAAAATCAAGACTTTTTTGTCATACCTTCCTCTTACGAGTTTTCTGTTTTTTTTTTCCTCTCAGAAACAAGATACTGGTCAGATTTTGTTGGATATGGCTTATAACCACTTGGGTGTGACAGAGAAGGAATATTTTGGTTTACAGCAAAATGAAGAGGCAGTAGATTCTCTTGTAAGTACACCATTAACTTTTTTTTCTAAAATAAATGCATAATGACTTTTTCTTAAAAAAAAAAAAATCCGTCTAATTTTTTTTTACTTTGCAGCGGTGGCTTGAAATGAGCAAACCTATCAAAAAACAGCTTAAAGGTAAGATATTTTTAGTACTCGGCAGACAAAAACTTCTAATTTCTAGTTTCCTTGATTAGCTTAAATATTATTCATGTGTGAAGTAAACTTTTGGATATTATTGCCTTGCTTACTAAAGCTTTTTGACAAAAATTCCCGCAGCTCTTACTACTGCTTGGCTGCAGATCAGGAACTGTAGGTTGCTTATGATGTTACTACTGTGATGTGCAGATGTAGCGGTAAAAACAGTAGCGGTCTGGAGGCAATAGTATATGATGTAGTAGTACAAACAGTAGCTGTATGGAGGTAACAGTACGGTATTATTGTCAGTGATGTTGATGGTAGATCTGAGCCTGAAAAAGTTGTTAGACACAGTCCTAAGGAAAAAATAGTAACCCTGAGGCAAGTTTAAACCATTTTAGGTAAAATTCGTAGCCTGTTCAAAGTTGATCAAAACTAGTCATTCTATAGTGGTTAATTTTTAAATGCCATCTTAAAACTATGAACAGGGTATAACTTTCTTAGTTGGAAGAGTTTTATTGGTTGTTTATGGTAACAGCATAGCTTTCTTTCTTTCCTTTGAATGCAAATGTAGTCTAAGTTATTGATAGCCCTGTCTGAGTCGAGATTAGTAACTTTAGAATTTTGATTGATGGTATGAAATTGCTGTACCATTTGGATGCTTTGCTGTATGTGGAGCCAGTTATATGTAGCCAGTACTGAGTCTCCAGACCAAGATCAACTGAGTACAGGTTTCCCTCGATTTTATGCAGGTTCAATTTATGCAAAGTCGCTTTTATGCGATGACCCTTTTTATACCTGAAATTCATTATATACGAGGTAAATTCGCTGTTACGCGATTGGTATAGGTGTGCTCCCCCAAGTAGGTAAGTTTGTGAGGGGAGGGGAAAGGGCCATGGGACCAGAGCCCCACTCACCACAGCCCCTGCTGCAGCTGCTGTGGGAGCAGCTGATGCCAGTGGCTTGGAGCCGCTTGGTTGCCCCATGCCCTGAACCCCCCGGGGCTCTGCCCTGAATGTCCTGGTGCAGCGTAGCCCAGAAGCTACAAGTAGGTGGCATCCGCTGTTTCGAAAGCAGGCTGGGGCCAGCGGCCACTATAAGCTGGGGTTCGTGGCAGCACCAGGCTCTTCCCAGCATTCAGCAGTGCTGGGAGGGCAGGTTGCGGGGGGCTACAGTGAATTTTGGAGTGGCAGAAGCCCCCCTCCCATTGTTGTGGCCCACCCTGAGCACTGGGAAGAGCCTGCAGCGGCCACTGGCCCCAGCCTGCTCATCCACTGCAAGCTGCTGCCTGCCCCTGCTCAGCTCCTGGGAGTGGCAGGCACTGTCTGCTTGCAGCCGCTGGGCTGCACTGCGCCAGAGGGTTCGGGGTGTGGTGCAGCCCAGCGGCTGCAGGCAGCTGGCATCAGCTGCTCCCGTGGCCGCTTCAGCAGGGGCTATGGTGACTGAGGAGAAGCGGAGCAGTGGGGTGTGTGGGGAGCAATGGGGTTAGTGGGGCTGCTGTCCACCCTGAGCACAGTGAAGAGCCTGGTGCCACCCCTGCTGCAGCCCTGCGAGTGGCCTACACCACTTGCTTGCTTGCAGTCACTGGGCTGAGCCGTGCCTCTCTCTCCCTGCCCCTTCTCTAGCCCCAGTCTCCCTCCCTCCCTCCCTCACCGTTGTGGGAACGTGTCCCTGTCTGTTTCATTGTAAACTGGGTACGCTTTATGCAAATTTAATTTATGTGCCATTCCCTGGGAACACATCTGCTGCATAAATTGAGGGAAACCTTTATTGTTAAGCTTGAATCTTTAATTTGAATGGATAAAGATGGCTTCTGCCCAGGGTAAGTGTGTTTTCAAGTCTCCAAGTCCAAGGGCATGGTAATTAAGTAAGGGATCACTTGAAGGGCTGATCAGGAAGTGATCTGGCAGGGACTGGAGGATTATAATATCTCTGTTCCTTTATTTATTTATTTATTTTTAAAGAAAATGTTGATTGAAGAAAGGGGAACATGACAGAAGTTCTGTTGAGGAGAGAGAAAGCTAGCTGCATGGGTAGCAGGGAAAGTGAGTGATACTTCATGATTTGGAGGAAAAGCCAGGAGCTGAGGATGGGAAGTCTGTGTAGATATTCTGTCTAGATCAGTATATTTCTTGTGCTAGTCTTTTTCTTTTTTGAGCCTTTACAGAATGTTTCTTTTCTCCAAATCTTGTATGTTCCTGATGCAGGCAGTTATAAACCAAGGATAATCACAAAATTAGGGATGTGGGAAAGTGAGAGCTATTGGTTATTGTAGAGACTGAAGTTTGTGTGTTGGGGACTGAACTGATGGGGGGAGACCAGCACTGGTTCTCGGGTTTTAAGACAGCTGGGCTATGAGAGCTGCATTTTTTGAAAGGAAAACAAACCATGTCCAGAAAACATGCCAGAGAATCAAAAGAAGAAAAGGTAGCTTAACCAAACAAACAAAACTGTAATAGGACACATGCCAGCATGAGAAGACCCAAACGGTGTGGTGAGAGTGAAACTGGCATTTATTTCTAGCAGCCAAAAAATGTCCACTTTTAGACATGTTCCTGGGAACAGGGCACAGGTATTCAGCCTGCAACTGCCCCCTCTCCCCTGCTTTTTGTACCTTCCTGAGACTAGAGGTGATTCTGGTCCATGGAAAGTATGAAGAACAGTAGCTGCTCCAGGGGGACTAGAGCAGTAGGGCAAAGTCCCCAGCTGTCATTCACACTGAGAACTTCAATGTGAGAAGCAGTGATGGGGCTGGAGGCTTGCCACTCGGCTCCTGAACACCTGTCCCCAGAAGGAGTCAAAAAGTGGGGAAGTATATAGGCATTTCATTATATAGGCATGTCTCCTGAGACATTCTTCCCAGGAGTACCTTCTAGCAAGTGGGAGATGAGTTATTTTGCTCTCAGAACAGCCATTTTTGTTCTGGGAGAAACTGTGAATGCCTGTATACTCATGGCTTCTACTGGGAGAGCTGTGATTTTTGTGGTAGAAACGTAACTCCTGTATATGGCCACTGCCGTAATAACTAGTGACACAGGAGTTCAGTTTTTCTCTGCCTCATTTCTGGCTCATTCTGTGCTTGTGTGTGATTTTGAAGTAACATCAGCAGACAAGGATCTTTGGGTGAATCTGATATCTTTTATTAGACCAACTTAAATAGTTGGAAAACAGTTTTTAAGCAAGCTTTCGGGTTCAAAAACCCTTAGGCTAAGGAAGCTTCAGCAGTTGGTGTGTGCTCTTCCTGGATGGAATAAAAAGTAAAGAAGTCAGAGGCTGGGCTGGTATACATACAAGATAGGTAGTCAGTGAAGGTGTAGACTGAGGAGTCATTGGGGTGGGGGAGGGGAGAGAAGAGGGATGAATAGTGGAGAAGAGTACCTGGGGAGTCAGATGTCAGGCAGGTTATAATGTGTCATAAATCCAATGTCTATATTTAGTCCATGATTTTTAGTATCCAGGAGGTTGATGAAGTGGAGTTCGTAGGCTTGTCTCTGGGAAGTGTTTTGTAATTTTCCTTTGAGGATCAGAACTGAGAGATTGGAGAGAGAGTGGTTTTCTTGTGAGAAATATGTCCCCACAGGTAATTGTGTATTCCTGTCTTTGATAGATTTCCGGTGTGCATTCATTCTGGTGTGCAGTTGTTTGGTCTCTCCTACATATTTTCCATCTGGGCATTTGGTGCATTGGATGAGATGTATTACATTTCTGGAGGTGCAGCTGTAAGATCCAGAAATGCTGATGGTTCTGTTGTGGGGTGTAGTAATTGTGGGGGTGGTGGAGGTGTGTTGGCAGGTTTTGCATTTCTTGTCATGGCATGGTCTGGATCCATTTGGTGTGTTGTGGGCCTGAGGAAGTTTGCTTCTGATGAGGTTAGCGAGGTTTGGTGCTTGTTTGAAGGCTAGGATAGGTGGCTCTGGGAAGATCTCTTTAAGAATAGGGTCTCTTTCTAGTATGGGTTGCAATTGTTTGAGGATTTTCCGTACGGTTTGAGGGAGGGGTGATATGTCATAACCAGTGGTGTGCAATTTGTGGGGGTTTTTCTTCTGTACTGCAGCAGTTCTTCACATGGTATCCAGTTGGCTCTTTCAAACATGTGATCTGTCTCTCTCTCTCTGGAGGAGTGTCCTTCTTGGGTGAAAGCCTTTTTAAGATGGGTGAGGTGGCAATTTGAAGTAACAACAGTTATACACATTAACTGGTGAAGTTTTATTTATTTTCCATGTTGGGCAGGATGGAGCTTTCACTAAATTTTCCCAGATGATGATGATTGCTTATGAGACATCTAAATAAAGTACATTGTGCTTTTTAAAGAATTCCTTCTTTTAATGCCACAAGGAGGCAGAACATAAATTTCAACATCGATAATACTGTTAACATTAATAAAATACGATAATGGAATAGAGTGCTTCGAAAACAAAAATGTCTTAGAAAATTTTTTTGCTGCTTATAATGGGAATGAAGGGAATAATGAAGAGAAATGAGAGTTTTATCATTATTGCTTTTTGCTTCAAAAGAAAAAAACACACATCAGACTTGGCATGATATATATTTATTTTGTGTATTGTAGTTTTTCTATAAAATTTACAGGAAAAGTAGAAAAATTGATTTACTTCTATGGAACATTATAGGAGGTTTTCCCTGCACCCTGCATTTTCGAGTAAGGTTTTTTATACCTGATCCCAACACACTACAGGAGGAACAAACCAGGTAACTTTATTTTTAAAATTTTAATCCAATAACTAAGAAATAGTAACACAGTAATCTCTGTTAGGCTCTGCTTTTTTGTACGCTTTGAACTTTAAAGATGTGGGGAAGTCATAGGGCACACACTAAGTCATGTCAGCCATGGGGCTTCTTGCACCTCTTACTCCTTGCTTTCCTTGAAGTCAACCCTTCTGAATTTAATGTCTTGATGTTTCTTACTGCCTATCATTAAAACATGATCATCTTAGCTAAATGTGATCATTTTTAACAATGTAAAAATAAAACATTTGTGCTTTTTTTGCAAGTCATTACCATATTTTAGAACTCCTATGCACACATTGATTTTGTCATTTTGGTCCCTATAGGACGAGTCTACACGAGACACTTTATGGTGTGGCAGACTAATTTGCTGCACAGTAGAGCATCATCATCTATACACACACAGCAGTTAGAGCTCAGTAGACTCATTTACTGCACTGCTGGGTAGTCCTGTCAGATGCAAGTGGTATCCAGCAGTGCAGTAAATTTACTGTGCTTAATTTCATGTGTAGATAGTGACTCAAATGGAGCCAGAGTATATTCAGTTGCATTAATTGCATGTGTAAATGTACCCACAGAGTCTTACATCCCTGTTTCTGTTGGTCACCATAAGATGAATTGGCAGCACCCACTAAAATTGTTAGGTTACCTAATCCTTTCCATTGTGCAAAATACTTATAACACTCAAGACTGAAACAGCTCTTCTTTCAGATTGTGTGTGTGTGTGTGTGTTATGTTTAGTCTTTAATTGCATGATCACATATTATTTAGTCACTTCATCCAGTGTACAGGATGGCTGCACAAGGAGTTAGATTTATAGATGCCGGTGCAACTTTGATTTTCACCCTTTTTTAAGTATCTTTTTTTGTCCAGTATTATTTCCTTTGCAAG